GAGCTCTACTATAAGAAGTTAGATTTGATGAAGGAGATGATTGGGGATGTTCTGCAATCTCTAAAAGATTAGGTGGGTAATCATTTATGAGTTTCTATATGCTTTGTCATTGCAAGTAGTTTGTTTGTAAAGTTTGAATTTTATTGATACTATTATTGATTGGTCTATTTTAATTTCTTGAATTTATTAAGAGATTAAATGATACAAAAAAATGAAAGAATTGAGCACAATTTTTAACCAGATAACAAGCTCACATTTCTTGTTTTAGAGTATATTATTATAGAATTTAAGAATGATGCATAAGAAACTGGTTTCATGGATTAGAGTTTCAGTTCACTAGCTACTCTTTACACTAGAGTAATTATTTATTTCTGGGTTTCATATAGTTATTTAGGAGGTATTCCATTATTTATTCCATTGCTTGTGTTAGAATTACATAACTAACTATGTTGCCCTTTTCTAGCAGGGTGTCTATATCTGCATTTTATGTGATTAAAAGCTTCATGAGCTTATTATATAAATTTCGAAGTGTGACTCTGTTGCTCGTCAAAGTTGTCCAAAGCCTAGGCATGATCAGTCCATCAATGTGGTTCTATTTTATACTCCCTTGGTCTTGTTGTGAAAAGTTTCTACAATATATATGCTATTTTCTATCAAAGACTCGTCGATCTATTTTCTTTGACTATCATTTGAATTTAGCCAGTTATGTTGTAATTAGCAAATTGATTCTCTCTTTGTGCTATTTTCAGGACGCCATTATAAGATCCATCTTGTTATTCTCACCTCTTGTTGTCCTAATCGCTCAAGGTATTGGTTCATTTCTCATTGTGAACTATTTGTCTCTGAATTAGAGTTTATGATGACTGATTTGAAATTTTATAATGTTTATAAGTAGTTTAAATAATCATTCATTTTTAAATTCAAACAACAGAGTGGAAGTGATAATTTTTAGGAGGTACATTGCGGTACTGACTAATTATGTCTTCACACAGAGTAACAAAATGTTGGCTAGTCAAGAATGGCCTCCATAGGAAATGAAGAGTCCTGAATAGAAAATTTCAACTGCCAGTTTCAGCATTAATAATTGAATAACTATATCTTGCCAGAATATAAAACCCAGAACAATAGGCAGTGCTGAAGTGTATGGCAGATGATCTGGAAAACAAGGAAATTATTGAAAGGCTTTGGTTACACTCCCAACTCTAGTTCTATACTAAATTTGACTTATAATTATGATTAAGATCGTCGAAATTACCGTCATGGTAACTTTTTGATGATGATTATAACCTGGATATATAGTGAACAAGGACATAAATAAGTAATTGCTCTTTGCCTAGTGATCTGAATTAGGAAAATTCAACAAAATTTGAAGCATATTGGTGCAGGTCTCCATTTGCATTCCTCTAAACATAGTAATTTAAATTCGCTAAATTTTAATTATTTTTTTTCACAGAACCACATAAATACTCTCATTGAGTCCCACACAAAAGCTTAACTTGTGAGCTTATAACTACTTGAGCATCGTTTGTAGATAAACTGGTTTTAAATATGTGATCTACTTGACATGCTCACAATACTTCAACAAGTTTTTAGTAACATAAATTCTTTTTTACGAGAGATGCTTGAAAATCTCTTGCACGGTATCCTCAATTTGTTATAAGCTAATACTAACAATAGCCAGAATTCAAATGGAAATTTCTATCAGTTGGGCTAAGATAGAAATAATTAGCTTATTCACCAGGCTAAATGATTCACAAATCGATCACTCACTTTGTCTTCATATTTATGCTGCTGTATCCATAAAATAAGTTATGTTTTTAGTTTACTGATAGCAAAGTATGATCCTGTAAAGATGCCTGAAACTTGTGGATTGGTATATCTTGATTGTAAAATAAATGCCCCTCTAGATTACAAATGAAACTGGTATAAACTGTCAGGCAGTTTGCAACTCTACTTTTTTTTTTTGAATTTGAAAGACTGGAAAATGAGAAAGAATTAGAAGAAGAATGTGAAAAGTTTACATGGCGTCATGAGAATGTGTTTGATGGAAAGCATTCCTTTTTTATAATTAGTTAGGTATTTAATTTTACTCGGCAATATATTGGTTCCATTTCTCCATCTATAAAATGCAGCTTTCCCAAATTAGTCCACTCACTTTTAGAAATATATTGTTCGAAATTCTTTCTTGAATTGTACAATCTAGGGGTCAAATGAGTAGAAAATAGTAGATTTTCTGTGAAGTATTTAGAAAATATCAAGAGAAATATGAATTACATTATATGATTGCAAAAATTAACATTCGTTTCAAATATTGCAATTTACTTATGAGAATGACTTATAAGGAGACATAGGAGAGATTGTCAATCATAATTTATTGTTTAATTCTTTTAACGAATATTTATGAAGGATCTTTATTGCAGATGTTTTTGTGGTGTCACTGGATAAGACCAGAAAAGCAACACGCAATGCAGTAAATATTTTTGCCATTCCATTCAGTGCAAATGGTAGGCTTTATGATGGCTATTGCATTAGGCATTGCCAACGTTGATTATGGAACTTGTTATATTATTTCCTTTTATTTTGCTTTTGAATGGATGAATGAAAGTAAACTTGATCTGGGAAGCGATGCATAATTTGTTGGACATGAAATGTATGCAAAATTTAAGCTTTCTTATGAACAAGCATTCACTAGTGAGAAACTTTTGTTTGTTGGAAATTACATTTGGCTATATATAATTTATCTTGTGTTTATGTGTGACGTATTTTCCTATTTGTATCTTTGTTTTGGAATGTCAAAGACAAAACGTACATTCTGGCTATTATGCATACATATTACCAAGACCCTCCAAGGATCAAAAGCAAGATCTTCTTGCTGAAGTTTATGAGGTGATCTAAACTAATATGTAACGATATCAAATATAAAAATGTTACTTGAATAATGAAGAAGAGAGTAACCTGGTGTAAAGAAAAAAGACGTTTAATGCCGACCTCAAATTGAAGGCGTTGTTCATCACGAGCAAATGTGGGACTTTTGGCGAGCACTTTTACAACCTAAGTAACAACGAATAAAACAGAACATCTTGATAAATAATCAATACTAAAATAAATACAATACCATAGAACTTACTCTTATATTTTTCGATGTGGAAGGCAGGCATTGATTTAGAAGTACTGTAGGGCTCTCACTCCCCTTTTATTCTTTATGGAATTGTTAGTTCGATGATAAGACTATTCTTTTATTAAAATTACAGGGAAATGGCTTGGAAACAAACAAAATCATTTCAATTGGCCAACAAAAGGTGCCATTTCTGGTGATGACCAGCATAGTTCCGACTCAAAAAGACTTTACGGAACTAACAAATGGAATATCATGTTGGTTCTACAACAATAACCATTTGTATAATTCTTCTGCTGAATGTGAATCCAATGTTTTAATTTTGCTTTATGTAAAAATTTCAAGATGAGTTAGAAATTTTTTTGGAATGAATATTTTGAATTTTAATAGAACTTACTTGAAAGATGCAAGACATGACCAGTAGAATTATTTATATGCGCATGCATGTTTTTATAAGATGTGATTTTGTTGGAATGCGAAAGTAGAATTATTTATAACTTAAATTTTTTAATTCAATAAATAAGATCGTTTAAATATACACGTGTATATTATATCAAGAGAAAATGATTATTTTTATCTAAATTCAATGGTCAATTCTTGAATTAAATTCTGAATATCGAACTTCCAATTTTTTTTTGGATTACGAGATATTAACTTTTAATTCCAAGAACTTGAAGTTTCAAACCTCCAAATCTTCTATGATATTCTCCAAAATCAAAATTACATCGATGGTGAACACTTTCTTTTAATTAAATAAAGAAATTAGTTCTTGGACTGGACAATTAAATAAAGTATGAAGATAATTATCTTCCCTCTCCAAATTTGAAGACTATAAAATTATGTATTATAATTGTTGGTGGAATTTAGGTTCTATTTAGTCTCTATTTATAAAAATAGAATAGTTCCAAACCTAGTAGAATAATAATTATATATTCAATTAAAGTTAAAATTACATGTGTATTCCTAGACCTTCAATTACAATTATAATTAAATTTATTAATTTTTAACAACAATTACAGCTAAGTGCAAAACTTTATTGTGATTACAATTAAACCCAAAACTATTATAATTACCGTAGTTAAATCTCAATAATTTATAGAGCTACCAGTGAGACCCGAGATCTGTCTAATTGACCTTGGACTACCCAATCTAATTATTAATCTTTGTTTTTTCATTAAAGGGAAAAAACTAATCTCTTGAAATATATAAGATCACAAAAGTCGAAAAATTGTAATACTTTCATCTGACGTGTTGTACATATATTTTATCCTCGTTCGAGATTCAATAACTAGGTAGGAACATAAATGATCGTTTTGTCCTTCTAATTATTCTCGCTAACTTAAGTACAATTTTCTTTAATGGTTCTGCAAACAAAAGCTCAAATTTTAACTGCTCAATAGAAAATATTGAGCTCAAATTATAGAAAATACTTAAACAGTAACTCTACCCAATCTCAGGGTGATGGTTCCCAACACAAATTCATGTTCTCTATTTCGTTCATTGTCAAGTTCCCAGCTCGTCGAGATATTTGAACAATCAAATTAATTTCAATCATTGATGAATCAAAGAATCATTAAAATCACGAAAGGATGTACATAACACTTTCGAAGGATTAGATGAAATACATAGTGGTCAACTGAAATTTAATTCTTCACTCGGTCATGCTATAACATTAAACTCAAGACGTGATCTATTCAATACATTTCAAGTGTACTACAGTCACCTTTAACTATTTATGTGATAGGACAAATCACAAACTTAAATAGTAAACGGATCAATGTTGCAACCTTCCAGTACAAAATGCCGACCTTTATACATTGTTTGTGAACAAATTATTTATGATCAAATTATAAGTTATGTCACAATGTACTTCTCAACACAAATTCCAACTTATATTGTCACAAGTGATCATTAGTGAAAAACCTAACGTTCGACCCAACTAACACCTAGAGGGGGGTGAATAGGTGTTCATGCGGAATTAAAAAAACTTATCAATTAATTCGTGCAACAAGTCACAAGAATTAAAGTTTGTCTAGATTCATTCACATGTCTTAATTACTTATGTTGAATTACCGGTAACAATAAATAAATTAAAGCAATAAAAGAACACAACGAATGTTGACGGAGAAACCCCAACTGGGTAAAAACTCTGGGCTCAAGCCAGTAGAGATCCACTATTTGTAAAAGGTAACTTACAGTACGTCAGAACAATTGATCCCCTCAATTTTCTAACCTCCTTACTGTTTGAGAACAAGACTCTCCTGGATCTAGCAGATCTGTGCTACCATCCCAGCCTTGTGTGACTTCTACTTCCCGTGAATCGTCAAGCACTCCCACTCTTCAAGCCAGTTCTTCCCGGATCTTCAATCTGAGGATCTTCTGGAAGTTTTATAGGATTTAGAGAAGGTCGTGTTTTGGTGTTTCAGGGTGTGATGTTTTTCTGCAAAAGCCAAGGATTTTTAATCTGAAAAGTTTAGAAGATTGTTTGGCTTTTTGAACTTTGGTGTGAAAGATATAAAGGATTAATCTCCAAGGATTTTAGAGTGAAGCAATAATATGGCTTTAATGTGTATTTTCTCCATAATCAACTCGAAGGAGACGAATGGTATTTATA